GTATTTATTATTATTATTATTATTATTATTATTATATTTATGTTTTTAGCAGTATTTTAAATCATATTGAAATAGAATCACAACATTTCATTGCGTTCTAAATCACAATCACAATTTTTATCACGGCTAGATTTTCCCCAAATCATGCAGCCATAAATATTACTACTGTAAATTTACAGTTATACTTTAAATTAAAATGTATTTTATTATATTATTATTTTTCTTAAATATAAAATAAATATTTTTTTTTACAATGGGACATTATAATAGTAATTTGTTTAATATTTTAATAATAATAATAATATTTATTAATAGTATTTTATTAATATTTTATAGTCATATGTAATCACAACATTTGTATTGCATTTTAAATCACAATCACAATTTTTATCAGGAAAAAAAAAGAAAAAATCCCCAAATCGTGCAGTGATCAGGGTGCAAAAATAGTGATCAGCCTTTGAATGTCTTCTGCTAATTTCAGCTGTGGTTGTTCGCCTTACACATCAGCACAAGGCCTAGTTCTCAACGTAATTTATTCTGGCCTCTTCCTCTCTGCTGCACTTTGAGGCCAGAATAATCCGCGACGTGGACCAGACCTTATGCCGATAGTCAGAAGTGTGTTTACGTGAGACAAGCAGCATATTTGAGAGGGAATGAGAGCCGTTAGTCTCCTGATGGAGTGCTAATCAGACGGCCGCGATACGCTAACCAACACTGCAATTCAAGACGTATCCTCCGTAATGATCCCACAGGGACGCATCCCAGAATAGGAAGTCTCAGCCTTTCCTTCTGCAGAAAATACGATAGGCGCTGCACATTCTAGTTGTGGGAAAACCATGAATCTGTTATCTGGAAACGCACAGGAAATGTGTTTGATTAGTGCTGTTTAGTTGGTCGTGACAACAAATGGGAAAACAGGAAGAGGAGCGATCAGACTTTATCACATTCGTTTTCACACCTTTATTTACCCCAAACCCAAAGAGATCTGCTACATTTGCATACTGATTCGTATAACCCAGATACAAGGGGGGGGGGGGGGTGTCTAATTATTGAATACATCTTGGGACCCTCCACTTGATCTGTGCAATAATGTTAACATAATTGCATAAGTTGGGAATGGGGGATGGAAGCGTTTGTGGAAGATTTCAGAGAGCAAAGCAGGAGAACGCTGACGGAGAAGCTTCATCTGCAACCGTTACTGACCTGTTCAGAGATAGATTTACAGTATAACTGTACCAACTGCACGCACTAATCCAGTGTAAAATGTAAATTACTAAATATTTAATTAACTAAGAAAGCTTTAAAAAAAGGTTTACAGTATTGGTAAGCTTCTTGAAAACTGTATCTGTCAAAAAACGTGAAGCTACTTAATATAAAATGTGTAAATTATAACAAATGTCATTTGTATTGGGGCTTAAAAGACCATTAACATTCAAAAATACTATCGACCAGTGTTGGGGAATGTTACTTTTAAAGTAGTGCATTACATTGCTTTAGCGTTACTTTTTGTCACCTGGGCTGGGCTTGCTTGATTCTATTTAAATAACAAAAACACACAAGTTCTATTTTTGGCAAATGAAAGGCCCTTTCACACCAAAAGTGAAATTAATAAGCCTCAGGCTAAAGGAAGTGCCTCTGCACTTATTCACGATTTCTCACAACACGGGGACAAGAGAGATGTCTGTGAATAAATGGGAAAGTCAAAGTAACTCACGTTACTTATTTGAAAAAGTAACTCCGTTTCGTTGCAAATTTAAAAGTATTGTGTTACTTTACTAGATACTTAAAAAGTAATCTGATTACGTTCTGCGTTACCCTCAACACTGCTATCGACTTGTTAATAACACTTGACACTGTTATTGATCTGAACTGAACCAACATCGATCTGAATGATGACACTATTGTCTTCTGTTAAGTTACTTTACAGCTGAAATTCAATGTGTTTAATAATTGATTAATTTAGCAACATTAACACTGTTATTATTACTGTGAAGCTGCTTTGTAAACAATCCATATTGCGCTTTAGAAATATAGTTATTGTGACTTGACTTGAGTAGTAGTCTATCATTTTTTGTTTTGTCATCGGCCGATATTTGGCCAATAAGTATCGGAAAAGGGACTTTTATTCTGACAGTGCTGAGCGCAGATGCACAGGAGCTCCCAGCAGTTTCCGAATTTGTGAAAAATACTATAATAGCATTAAAAGTTGCTATCTGTGTAAGTATAAATCTGTATATTTCACAGGTTTCTTATTTCATGACGTTCAAATAATTTTATATTGATTCATTTTCAAATGATTTAGTTATAATTTGGTAAATATTATGTCAAATAAATATATTTAATTGCAGCATGTGTTATTTCTGTAAAGCAAATAGTGTGATATATATACAGTGGGTACGGAAAGTATTCAGACCCCCTTAAATTTTTCACTCTTTGTTATATTGCAGCCATTTGCTAAAATCATTTAAGTAAATTTAATACTTATAGGATATTTGTGGTATTTAACATTTAATTATCACAGGTTTGCTTCTTATTCTAAGTTTGCATTTCACTGCTTTTATTCATTTTGAGGAATACTGAATGTGTTTTTGTGTAAGTGAGATGAGTAAATGCATGTTCTCATTTAGTCTAGAACTACAGTATCATCACACAGCGCACACAACGCCTCTGCACTCACTCCTGATTCCTCTCAACATGGGGACAGTAGAGCTGTCACTCAATACATGGTAAACAAAGTAACTGGAGTTACTTATTTGAAAAAAGTAACTCAGGTATTTTATTGTAAATTAAAAAGTAATGCATTATTTTACTAGTTACTTGAAAAAAAGTCATCTGATTACGTAACTCACGTTACTTGTACCCAACACTGCTGACTGACGTGTTATGCTTAGGATGCTTTTAAATGCAGTCAGAATGCTAGTTCTAAATGCTAGTTTGCACAGGAAGAGAAGAGAACACTTGTTTGTGAAAGAAGCGAACAGCTCACTTATATTCCAATCCTTTTTATCAGCTTTTGTGTTTAGTGTTATTCAGCAGTCTGTGTTCTGTCAGGGATCTCCACTGTATTGTTTGCTGATTGTAACGTTACTTAAGCAACCTCTGTGCAGCAATAAGTCTTGTTGCCGTTGTTTTAAAAGAGAAACTTTAATGCAATCTGGAATTATTGGAATTACTATTAGGAATGTCTCTGTTATAATATTTGAGAGTAGGTTTTTGTTACAGCAGTTTTCATAACGTAGACAGTGCGAGTGTATTTCTGAAGTCTTTGGTGTTTATTTAGCCTCTAACTGATATCCAGTTATAAATCTGTACACTAGATGAGGTGAAATAAACCATGCATACGAGTCGATATTCTATTGATTTCTGCTTACTGGTGAAAGAGCAACTTCTGATGAAATGTACAAATACATTTCCCAAATGACAACAATCATTGCAATTAAAATTGAGCAAAACAATATTTTTTTTTTCATAACTTGAACCATTATACAGTAAGACGAAAATGTGTAAGTTTCCTCTGACTAAAACTAGACTAAAACTCTCAGACATTTAATCGACTACAACTTAACTAAAACTAAAACAGGACAAGTTGACTAAATATGATGAAAACTAAAAGTTACATTTGACACAGGACTAAGACTAAATTAACAAAATTAACACTAGAGGCAGCAACATATGATAAGACAACAAGAAAGGCAATTAATAATGTTTCATTGTGCAAAAGTATTATAATATGAAAGGCTCCAGTTCAGAGCGACTCAAATCGCTTATGCACATCCCGTGCGCAGAATGATGCGCTTGAAGCAACACGGAGTCACTCTGCATAGAAAAGCTCAAAGAGAAGAGATATTGATGCGTGATCTTTCGTCATCAAATCAGACGATGAACATAGACAGGTTGTGTGACACCCTCATCCTCAAAAACTATCAACAAGTGTTATTTTATTATTTATATACAGAACTTTACAGTGTTTTTTGATTATTTAAATTAGCTTTTACTTTTATATTTTCAGTTTTCATTTTAGTTTTAGTAATTTTGTTGTGCTTTTATTAGTATATATATATATATATATATATATATATATATATTAGTATGCTGTTCATTATAAATCACGTTTCGCTCATTTTCAAACATGTCAGCATTTAAGGTTGAGCTTGTGCATTGCTCTCCTTCACGTACATGTGTGAAGTATGTTTCGTCGTTCACCTCAGCAGGTCTTTCTTTAGGTCACATTTAACTTTGTATTGTCATTTGTTGGCCTTTAAATCAGTCACGAGGTGCAAACCGCGGCGGCTCCATCAAACACACGTCAGCGATCAGAGTTGAGCGGAGAGCCAGATGAAGCCAAGCGCTTTCCAGAGACACACAAGCCATTAGGGCTGTCAAAAAATAATAGTGATCGACCGATATTTATATTTTTTTACCGATACCAATTATTTGCATGTTTATGTGCCCGATAACCGATATGCAGAACCGATATTTATTTACTGTTATAAAGTAAATAAATGACTGAGTGAAGTAAGTCCATGCTTCACTTTATTTTTTTCTCCTTTCAGTCATCTTAAAAAAGTGTTGAAAATTAGCAGTCTTTCATGTTAAATTTAATCTTCATATTACAACAATGAAAAAAACATTTTATTTAAAGCATCAGCAGCAACACTAATATTAACAATAAGCAAAATAAATGTAGTAATAAATGTCTAATGTTTTCAAATGGAGAAAATAAATAAAGGAAAGGAGTCACATCAACTTCATTTTAAACTAGTTTTAGTAGGTTTATAAGCCATTTAATAGGCTAAAGAGTGAAGAATAATTCACTGGATAACGTTAATTCACAGAATAATATTCTCTGGAATATTGAAATATAACAAACAAAACATCGTATTTTATTGCATTTCTCAACTGGTATGTTATATCAGAATTACTAATGTTTTTGTCGTTCTAAATTATGAAATGCGTGCTGACAAAGTGCAGTTTGTGATCGCTCGTGGAGATAATAAATAATCCATTTCCATAGAGTTGTATCTATTTAGATGTTTATTAGCGAAATAATGGCTATATAGTAAATGTTAATACAATTTAGGGCATTTTAAACAAGTGAATCTTGTTAAAAGTTACATGCGGTGGCATGAGATGGGCATTTCCTGAGCATCAACTTGGTGAGTGAACAGCAATATGAAAGCGGCTTCACGAGACTAATGATGAGCATAGACAACAGACAGAGAATTTATTTCCAACATGCGCCCATTCATGGCTGCATATTATTTAATTCACACAAAATTACGTCTTTATTGGGACAGGACTTGACGGATTATTTTATGTGACTCCATGAGTTCGTCTCTATTACTTCGAGCCAAGCTGCACAAACTGCATATCAGGCATTTATGTAATACATCTAATTTGTGCATTAATGTTAAATAAAGTTTACTAACTACAGTAAATTAAGTACCTGTGCACGCCGTTGTTGTTGTCTTGTTTCCCCTCAGATGCACTGCAATGGGGATCGTTGAATCGTTGAAATGGCGTTTATCGGTGAATCCGATATTACAAAACCGATATCCGATTATTGTAAAATGCTTAAATATCGGGAAAATATCGGTAAATCGATATATCGGTCGATCTCTAAAAAATTATTTGAATTTCGATTATTCGTTGAATTTAAAATAAAAATCCACATTCGAATGCAACATTTTTGCATTTTAGAATTTTAGGTGTGCATTAAGGAGGCAGCCTTATCAGAGGCGCACGAGATGCGATGACGATGTAAGTGTTGCGTTATAATGTTTTTGTTAGCCTATCCAGTTGAAGCCACTAGATGCGGTGTTAATTACAAATATTGCGGGAAAAGAGAACATAAATGCGGAGAAGATCTTGTTTACATCAAAACTGAAATCAAGCCGTTCACACAGAACACATATTTATCGCATTTTCTAGAGGGACATCTATCACCGCTGCACTCGCGTCTCGCACAAAAGAGCCACATGTTTAGAAAGCCATGCAAAATGAATGCAACGTTTAACTTTGAAAAAACATATCTCGAGACTTTATGGCGGGATTTTTCCCATCCCACTGCAACTCGTGTTTTTAAACGAAAAATGTAATCTGTGTGATTGGCTTTTGGCCCTTTGTATTAAACTATGAATAAATACATGATGCTGTTTTGTTTATAATAGTTTAAGCAACTTAATTAATTATAATTGATTCATAAACATTATTTTAAACATTATGCACTTTTTTCACAGATAGTCATGTCATCTTATATGCTTTGAATAAACGTGCATTAGTCGATGCTCTCTCTCTGTGGCCTCAAGAGAGAAGCCAAAAGCTTATCTTCACCCTAACTGAAATTATGCATTTTAAATTTTGATAATGTTTAAGTACAAAATTCGAATTTAGTTTTTCAGCCATTTTGACAGCCATACAAGCCATGTTAGACTCATAAATGGTGTTGTCTGGCGCTCCGGCATACCCGTGTCAGAGACCTGAGGGGCTGTTGGCACGAGCTGCGTTCCCATGCAGTAACACAGCAGTAAATAATTGCGCCTGTTGGGCAGAGAGACAGAAATATGCTGAATAGGTCGATCCGTGCGTCTGACTAATAGAAGTGTAACAGTATTCCGACTGGAAAGGCTTCTGTCCCAGAGCACACGCTCTCTCCCCCACGTATTGATCTGCTAAATGTTTTCCGAACATCTCAGCTCTCTTCCTGCGGATGCTTTTTTAAAGTCCTGCCATGTGGGACATCTGTGACAATTAAATACGCTCACATATATTGCTTTTCTTTCTTGCTTTCCGTTTTCTTCTCCTTTTTTCATGTCTCATTGCATTCATGTTAATGCAGTGAATGCATGGACACTGATGTGCATGCAGGAGTAGCATAAGAGCATGTGTGCACGGGCTGGATTTGAAGCAGGTCTGTAATGTAATGTGTGTAGTTCACCCACAATCCATCTGTGCAAGCTCTTCCGTCTATATGGAGCTGAATGAAGTAACGGAATCTCTCCACTACATGAGACACCGAGAATGAATCGCATTACTCGCTCATGAAAAATTAATGCAAATATATTATCTGGAGGAATAAGAGCCCAGAACATAGGGAGGGATTGTCAGAAATGAATCACCTGTGTTGAGGCAAAAATAGAGCTTGAACAATAAGATGAAGGAGCAGACGGCATCATTGACATCAGTGCACGTGTCTGCACTTCAGCGGCTTTGAGATGTTATAGGAGTGAACAATACTGTAGAATTTGTTTAAACATATTTCTGAAAGAAGTGTCTTCTGCTCACCAAGGCTGCATTTATTTGATCAAAAATACAGTACAAATTCTGAAATATTATTTCAGTTTAAAACAGCTGTTTTCTATGTGAATCTCTGTTAAACTGTGATGTATTTCTGTGATGTGCAGCTGTATTTTCAGCATCATTCCTCCAGTCTTCAGTGTCACATGATCTTCAGAAATCAGTATAATATGCTGATCTGCTGCTCAACAAACATTTCTGATTATTATCAATGCTGAAAACAGTCGTGCAGCACAATATTTTTGTGGAAACCGTGATACGTTTTTCAGGATTCACAGATGAACAGAAAGTTCAAAAGAACAGTATTTATTTGAAATAGAAATCTTTTGTAACATTAGAAATGTTTTTACTGGCACCTTTGATTAATTTAATGCATAAAATAATACAAGTATTAATTTATTTAATAAAAAATGTTCTG